CCCAGTCAAATTCCATGTACATGGAAAGGCCCTTCATGGAAACACCTTTTTTTTTTTTTTTATTCTTGGGTTTTGGTTTTTTTAGTTGTTAAGATTTCTGGTAAGATTCACTAACAACAGAGTAGCCATTTGCTACTAACAGGCTATTTTCTATCATGGTTTTCTATGGTGACTTTTCTCATCTATCCCTTTCTATATCCTAATTACTTGACTGATTTTGGTTCTCTTTTAAAGATAATGAGAACTTAAACATTACATAAACTGTAACGCATGTATGTTTTACACAGAACTACAGGAAGTTATATATAATCTGTAGATGGGGCTTTTAAACCTTTGGCAAATCGTGTTTTAATTAACATTATTAATTCTCAGAATTGTTAACTTGATGAAGTAGCCTCATTGTACATAAGGAAGTTTTCACTTTCTCAATCAATATACCAAAAGCAGTATTCCCAGCTTGATAGGGCAAGTATGTGTTTTCTTTTTGAAGTTACTGCAGCTGCAAGTGTTGTACTACAAATGACCTCTGAAAGACTGCAAGGGTCCCAAAGGGAGTGGGTTATATTTTTTAACTTCCTAAATTTAAGTTCCTAACAAACATTCTCCCTCCACCTCATTTTGGAGACAGTGACTCAAACAGATGGTTATTATAGAAAATTACATACCAAAATGGGAGGTAAAAACAAGGTACATCATATCAGTCCAATAATGCACGTCTTTCTTATTTTTAAGTTTCTGGAAATAATGTTTTCCATACAAGCCAGCCTCAGATGCGGAAGTAGGATATTCCCCCTATTTAATGCAAAATGTGCATCGTCACGTATGCCTTCAGCATATCCACAGTGACTAGTTACTTCAGAACTTTTTTTTTTTTTATATCATGGTTTAATCCTATCTTTATTACTGAAAAAATGCAATGTTAAAAATAAGTAAAAATCTTCATTAAAGATCTATTTTATAGAAGATTTTAGTACCTATTTGCTATTTTTATGTTAACAAAGCATAGCAGTTAAAAGGTCACTTTAGATTACACCTTGAAAAGTCATGAAGTGCTTCAAAATATATCATTACTTTAAAATGTTTAAGAGACAACTCTTCCTCATTTGTGAATCTATGCTATAGACTTTGTAGTTAACAATGCTGTTTAACAATATGCAAGACAGTGCAAATGAACATGAAACTAGATAGACGACATCATGTTATAGATATTTAAGGATTATACCATCCCGGGAGGCAAACCTTCACAATAAGATAAATTTACATTTCCTAAAATGTTCAAACTGCTTTGAAAATGCTTTTCAAAGGTGACAGATTTTGCATTCCTAAGAAGGTGAGGTCTTCCATTTTAAAATGTCAGCATTGGGCCAACTAATTTATACATTGTTGTTAGTTTCCATTTCCATATTAATCTTACATCATTTGATGTTCCAAGTTTAAACTGTCGGTTACCTTTCTGTGTCTAGTGCCACACAGCACCCTTAGGAGAAGCACCAGGGCTACCATTTTGGGGATTTCTTCTCTTTCACAGTCTAATAATTTGGCCAACATAAATGCTTTGGTAAAAGAATTGAGTATTTATTGAAACAATTAAGTCTAACTTCTTCTCTTAATTAAGGGTTCTTGAGTCCAACAAGCCCAAGTCAGATCACTACAGGAGGAATTTCTTCTAAGGAAAGAATCAAATGAAGTGGCAAGGAAATCATTCAGAGCACCTACTGTAAGTACCTCAATTAGATATTGTAAACATCTCCATGTTTCCTGGTCTTTCTACAAGACTTCCTTGGTCACACCAACTTCCATTCATCTATGTTAGCAATAAAGTCCAAATCCAAGGACTGTCCATAATGATAGACAGCAATGCTTCTGCATGTGCATTAAGAAAGTGAACTCTAGTCTCAGCATTAAATGCAGAAGTATTATCCACCCAGGAAGTGGTCTGCAGAAGCAAATGCCATCTTCAGTTCCTCTTGTAATTCATCCACAGCTTTCTAAATTTTCAGGCTGTGTTAACTGTATTAAGGCACTGTAGCTGTGGCATCATGATAGAGTACATTCTTCCAAAACTTGTGATAAATTGGGTAAATATGGTAATAAGGAAAACAATTGAATTCAGAATGAAATTGTGGTGTTGTTTTTTTTTTAATTCAGATGAATTAATTGCAGTAGTGATGTGACCAGAGTTTTGCAGATTTGCAAAACAGTAAGGTTAGCTTTTAAAAGGCATGTAGTTAGTTCTTTTCTCAGCTTTTTGAGTTTGCTTCTAGGTTTGTCTCATCATACAGAATAGGATTCATTCTGCAGACTGTTCTCCTCCTCCCACCTAGGATAGACTTCAGGGTTGCATAGAGGAAGTCAAAAAAGATATTTCACATCATTTAATTATGAGCCCTTTAGCTGCCTGAGTAATGTTGATGGAGTCCAGAAAAATGTGTCTTGTCTGCCTTAGGCAGCATAAAATGGGAACATGCTTGAGCTCAGAGGCGAAAAAAGGCACACGGAGAGACTGGAATGGGGAACTTGCACTCAACAAATGACCCAAGCATGAGAAAATTTACTGGCAAAATATAAACACTTTGTCTTCTGAAAAGCTGGACATTACCAGAAAAGAAAGTTACCCTGTACCTTTTGAAACCCACCCCCCACACACACACCCCAAAAAAACCCAAACCAAATACCCATTGTCAAAGCCTAATTCCCTTCCGAGCTAATCAGGCTCCAGTTATTTGAATCACTTTTTCTTTCCAGGAGTTGTATACTGGTGTAATGGGTATATTGTTAAGTGTCCCTCCACTGGAAGAAACAAATCACAGTTCTCTATTGCTCCAGTTTCCATCCCTGACTTTCTACTGTTTTTCTTGATGTTATTCACCTTTTACAATCATGGCAGTGACAAAGGGTAGGGCCCATATATCTGACACCCCCCCACCCCTGCCAACCCCTTAGAAAGTCAGAACAAAGAATGACTTGTGAAGGCTGCCTTGTTTAAGGTGAAGGACTAGAAGTTTATTACAAGTATAGGGGCTGATCCTGCACCCACTGAAGGCTATGGGAGTTAGGCTTATGAACAGGAAACTTCTCCCAGTGTGTCTTAGCTGTCTTCAGATTCTTCAGCTGTCCAGCTCTCTTGGCTATTCCTTCCAAGTCTAGAGCTCCAGAGGTGGAAATTATCATATCTTGTAGTGCATACCCAGACAAGTAAGGGGGTCTGATCCCACCAAATGGTAAGAGTTTATAATAAGCATGCCCTGCTTTGGGGTATTGACTACTTTTGCAGACCTAAACTCTCTTTTTTGGGGGGTTTGTTTTTTTGTTAATATCTTGATTTCCAACTTGGTAGGAGTCAGATTAAATGTATAAACTGTGAGTGAGATAGGAGCATGACTTAGTTATGATGAACAAAATACATCAGCTGACATAGTGCTAGGCAACCCCACTGCAGTCAGTCAGGAAAATTGCTGGCTACTAGCTAAAAGCATTACAAGTCTCTTTCTGCTAATAAGATGGGGAGTACAATGACGCAAGTGGAGTAAGTATTGTTTACTTGAAATCTCCACTCCCTAGTACTATCAAGCAACTACTCTGAGTATATTGATAGATGTCATACACAAAATTCCATGTCTTTCAGACAGGACAAAGAAATGGAGTATGAACCTAGGGAGGACTGCCCTGTTTTCTGTTGCACCAAACTAAGGGTATTAGGTTCAAAGACTTCTGTTCAATTATCTTGACAGGTAACCAGCAAGTCTTCTAGTCTTGGCATTCCTATCCTAGTTTTGCAGAAAAGATGCCTCACGGTCTTTGAAAGAACAGAAAGACAAAAGCAGCTTTGCTAATGGAATGTCTCCTAGAATGGCAGAATCATATTTCAGGAATATCAGATCATCCTGCTTTTCCATCATGAGCCTTAGGATTTCTAAATTCAAACAATTTAGAATTTAGATCACAAACTACCATCTAAATAGCCATTTAATGAAACTCAAGAACCCTGCAGAAGCCTGTATTTTTCTTAAAATATGACAGAAGGAGTATTTGTTTTGAGGACAAAACTATCTAATTAAAAAAAAAATGCATGGCTTTGCAGAGTTTTTTTCAGAAGTAAAATTCATGAGGAAGCATCAATGTCTTTAAAGCCCTGTTTAAATCTCAGGTCAACATTATAGTTGTATTTTGTTGTAGCAAACATGACACAGAACACAAATAATTCCATTTCCATTAAGTAAAAATTCTCCTAGACTAAAATGAACTTACTTCATATCAAGCTGAAACTATTCACTGTATATGCAGAGATGTAGGAAAACATAAAATTTAGATTGTCATTTAGCTAGGAAAAAATATGACTTTTAAGGATGAAGAAAACCAGGGAAACAGCAATTTCTACAGCTGACATGTCAAAACAAACCTATAAAAGAAAGTATCAGGACAAACACTGCTTGCTTAACGTAAACCAGTAAAGCGAAGTCTGTCCATGAATAAGTCAACAAACTGTGACTGCAGTCTATCAGAAATGTAAGTATGCTGGCATGCTCTCTAATATTAAAGACAGTGAACATAATCAAGACTTATGCGGCTTGCGTTTTCCACTGATTTTATAAGTGCTTTTGCATAGGAAAACCATATTTATAAAGTAAGTAAAAAGCTTAATCACTATTTGTTCAGGTGTCTCCCAGATATCTTCCTATGGATAAAGCTTGAAAACCAAATATTCAATACCTGAAAAAAACTAAAATGTAACAAGTACATTACAGCCTGAAATATATTTCAGGCAAATAATTTTTCAGGTACTTTTCTCACATTGCCTGCATATCCACAGAGTTCATAAAACAACTAAATGATGATTTATGCATGGTAACTTCCTTGGCAGTAATTGTCATGCCAAGGAAAACTTATTTACTGATTGCAGACATCCATACAGTAACATAAGTATTTTTTTATTGCGTGAACCAATCAATCAGTGTGAAGCACAGATGGTGAATGGTGAAAACAGAAAATACAATGTTCGTTTTTCCTTTATTTCTAAAGGGAATATCTAAGCTATATTGTTGTCACTGAGAAGTGGGTCTCTGCTCCGAAATGTAGAGCAAAATAACGTGGGTTGACCTAGAAACTGTACAGTTTCTGTGGTTACAGAGCTAAAATCATGCTGCAAACATGAGGCAACAGAACATAAATTACTATGTTACCTATGTAACTTGGCTCATGTATTTGTCGTTAGAATCACAGAGAATTCAAGAAATGTCAACATACTAATTCTGAGAATCAGATCAACAACAACAAAAAAGAAAGTTACCCTAAATCTGTAGCACTATTTCAGTACTCAAAAGCTGTATTTAATCCACAGGAACTACAGTGAACTTGTAAAGGCTGAATACCACATCAATATTCCCTGCACCAGCTAAGTAACTTCATAACTAATCTATTGTTTTATTTATGAATATTACAGATCAAGCTTGCTCAAGTTCCACAAGGACTCCATGACAATCTTTAGGGTGAAGAAAAATCACAGGTTTGCCATGTGCACCTATTTTTGGCTCTTCACTCAATATTCGTATCTTTTTTTTCTTCAGTTCTGTCATAGCCGCTTTTATGTCATCAACCTTATAAAAGAAAAATACAGTTCACACAAATGAACATATTACATTGTATTATGAAGATTCTACATTTAGGAAAAATAATGTAATTTTTTACTAAAATATTATTTCTAAATTCTAATATAATTCTGAAAATCAATTAAATTATGAGTTTTAAAACATCTAGTCTTAAAAATAAAAATCCTACAGAAGTTTGCATTTGTTATTTGAAGATTTTATTAAATATTATTTAAATAGATTGTGCTATATTTAAGAAATTAAACAAAAATCACTCATACACAAAGCCCATTGATTTTTTGATGTTGTTACTTTATTAGGACTCCATAAATAATCTAAACCCTGCATTACTATTACTAAGAAGAACATATTGCTTTCAAACTATCAATAACTAAAGAAGAATGCTTCCCTGTCTAATTGATGACAGAACACTGAGTCATTAGATGCTGGTAAAAAGGGGGGCAATGGGCAGAAGGTCAAAGGAAAGTCCCCTTTAGATTTATACATCCTCCTTGTCAGTAGGTTAAGCTTCATAAAATTTACTAAGAAAAACCTTGGAATTATCAGAAACATACCCAGAATATGACCTGGTTTTCCTATTGAACTTAATTTAATAATAGCCTTTAACATAATATTTCAGTACAGTTTCCTGCAGAAATATGTAGTTAACAAAAACATGTCTACGCTGTATAATGTGATCTTAAGTCTGATGTCATGTCATCAGATGAAATTTGAATTTTCCCAAACCTTAAATGCATTAATTCTTTGAAATAATAAAATTAGCACTCAGGTTAGCAAATCCAAGAGTCAATAATCAATAAAGACCTAGAATTAAAATAATAGCATTGCTATTTTTGAAGCCTGAGGTGACTGGACATAACTTGGTGAATAAACTTGCATGATGGCATTGTAGGGAAGAAGGAAATACCTAGCTTTTATTCAGAGAAATAGACATCAGTTAATCCCTACTCATTTGCAGCAGTTTTGTTCATAAAAATTCTGAACTCACTGCAGTTCTTCCTACACACAACTACCAGTCTGCTAAAAGAAAAAAAAAAAGAAATGACTGTCAAGTTTTATCTAAAATAAAACAGCACGTGTAATGTGTGCCATAGCCCCCTCCAGGTTGTTTCCCCAAGCAGAAAAGCCACTGCAGCTGCTGCCCCTGTCCTGCAGAGATGGCCAGAAGAGGAACTGTGTCTGGGCTCAGCTGGAGTGAATTACTGCATCCCCAAGGAAGCAGTGAGTGTAAATAGTGGAAAGCCTGTGGGTGCATCAGTGTTAGGAGAGTATCAGGCTCAGATTTCTCTCTTATTCTACCAAGTGTCCAGCATGCTTTTCATTGCAGGTATTAAATGCAATTATAGCTGGTCAGAAATAATTTAATTTCTTCTTAAAATGTTTCTTTTGTCTGAAACAAATTTCCCCATCAAAACATCCGTCTAAAATTTTCCTTTGAATAGGAAGACAGAAGGAAGAAATGAAAAGCATTTTGATAAACTTGTGAGGCTTCCCCTCCAGTATGGAAAGATTTTTTACAATTGAGCTTTTTGTAATAAAATTGTTCATAGAAAGATATTTCTACAAAATATTTTTTCAATTTCAAATGAACAATCAATTGACACTGAAGTTCTTTTATACTTTTTCTGAAAACTATTTTTGCTCAACTTCAGAAGATGACATATCTTTGAAATTGTTAGATTTTCCATTCTGTGGAGAATAGAAAATTGGAGGAGGGAGGTTAATATCTTTTTGATTGACTATGGTAGTGACCAAATCTGTTTTCAGTCCCACTTAAACAGCAGGTCAACAATGGATTGCTTTTTTCTCCATGTAAATTAGTCTATAATCTTCCATTGGTTTTTACGTGGAGACAAACATGAGGGACTTTAGGGCAATTTTTTTTTTTTTTTTTTTTTTTGTAGAGACTCTATTAGTGAATTACAAGACTTCATTTAAGAAAATCTGGCTGCCAGTAGCACTAGCTAACCCGATTAAAGGAAATTAACAGCTAGATTATGACTCCTGGCTCGCTTGACCTACTGTATAGAGTTATAAATTTTTAACACAACACTTCTACATTGTCCAACATGGTATAATTAGCATATCCTGTTCTTCTCAATTTTCATAATTAACAGTATGAGTTCCCTTGACAGCCATCTTTGATTTATCTGCAACAAGATCATCTCTCATACAAAATGGAGATCTACATAGAAAAATTTCAGCTGGTAACAAATATTTCTTGAAATGTCTTAAAAGGGATTACATATAATTGAAACTCTTGGGAGCTTTGAGCTCTTTGCTGAGAAATGCCTACAACTTCTTTGTCTTCTACCTATAAGTAAGTACCACTGGTCTTTTACAGAGGGCTGGAGGTCTTTTTTGGTCTTATTGCAAATCACTTCTTTCTTCTACACCCCCCATTTCCTAAGTTCAGCTGAGGTCCTTCACATTTCTATAGCAGAACTGCCTAGCAATACAATTTAGGGTCAGTTTAAGCAGAATTAATTTTCTTATTCTTGAACATCTGCAAATAGACAAACTTAATGTAAGAAAAATTGCAATGCCTGTGTGTATGCAAAATTTCTCAATTCTCAATGAAAGCGTGCAACTGCAAGTACTGGTCTCTATGGATGTATTCTGAAAACAATTTTTACTCACATCAGTAATCCCATTACTTTTTATTATTACACTTTGCATGAAATAATAAAAGTTTGCAAGACTCAGATCTGTAAAATATTAAAAACATGTATCATGGGCAGCAGCATGAAAGTTTGCATCAAACAACTACACTAAAACATGAGTATGCTAAATAAGATAACTACTTTACCCAGCACCTTTACGTCTTGTGTACTTCCAGACCAATCTCTCTTTGATTGACAAGAAAGAACAGGACAGAAGAATCTCTGGAGACTTTACTGCTGTTTGTAAGTACAACTGACAATCTTTTTTGACTTCTGTATACAATTATCAACTAAATATCGAACAGGAAGAAACTTCTGAAAATCTAAACTGACTTAGCTTAAACTTACAACTCCATCTTTTTCCAGTCCAGATGTCCTTTCTAGGTCAGGAAGTTGATGCCTGTTAAACAGCCTTCACAGGCCCTTGGGCTTGTCCACCTTCCACACATACTTAACCCTCCCCTCCTCAATTTAATCTTCAGAGCATAAAAGAGAAAAAAATTATCATATAGCTCATGAAATTGAACTGTGATTTCCAAAACAGAAAAAAGGCATGTGTAAGACTTCTTATGCAATATAAATTCTCACAGATATGACAGCCTTATATATTTGTTCTTGACAAAAGTCAAACCTATGAAAAAATTATGCATACTTTAATATCACTATCTTACTACATGATATATTGTGTTAAAATACCTCAATGCAGATATGATGCATCCCTCCAGTCTTGTTTTTTTGCAGAAAGCTTGCAATGGGACTTTTCTCTCCTAAAGGATGCAGAAGTTCCAGCTTGGTATTACCCAGCTCCACAAAAACAACGTAGACACCATGTTCGGGAAGAGCAACAGTCTCGCTCACCTGTGCTCCTAACACATCTTTATACAAGGACTGAGCCTTCTCCAGATCAGGTACTGCAATTGCTACATGATTAAGTCGGCCCAGTTTCCACAAAGAGCTTGGAATGTTTTGAGAAAAGGAATTCGATGATGATAGAGTTCGTATTGCGGGAGCTGAAGTCTGCAATCTGGTAAGAAGCCCTGAAAAAAAGTGAATAGCACCGATACAATACTTTTGATAAAGTATCAATATCTGCTCTTTCCCCTTTTAATGAGCCCTATGTAACTCCTACGTCATAAGCACACCAGTGTGAAAAGCTGAAGGTACACTGAGACCAAGGAAAGAATTCTTCTGTAGTACTACCAGCTCAATGAAAATTTTTTTCAGAGACTATGTAATTGTTCAGAAGTATTAAAAAAAACCCCAAACACAAATTTGGTGTAAATGCTTACATATGCCTGTTAAAAAGAGGAATACATGGCCAAATGTAATGGTCAACTGTATAATGTACTGAAAAGTGACTTCTGAATTTTTCAGAGCTTCTTACAAAATAGAGAAAGAAATGAGGATATGCCTATACATCTAAAAGTTATAACAAAAGCCAGGAAAACCCAAACAAAACCTTGGACAGAACTGATACTGCAAGAACCAAAAGATAAAAGACTTGAACTCTCAGCTGTCAGAGCTAACTCCAGTAAGGCAAGAAATGTCGTGTTGCATCTGAGGCTTAAGGAATCCTAAAATCTCCTGAGTTTGATTTAATATTTTCCCTTTCTCCAATGATTAAGACATTTGCCCTTCTTACTTTTCACATGCCATACAGGTCTTCTACTTTGTTTCACCGATCTGTTTCAAGATGTTTAGAAATATTTCAGTTCTAAGTACTGTGAACAATATCATGTCCAACTGATCAATAATAATTTAGAAGATTATCTTTAAAAGGTCAGAATCATAATAGCTTTTTTAAACTAGTGCCACTGACTTCAGGGTGACTTACAAAAGAAAAAGCGTATGATTTGGCTCATCATAAATGAAAAGGTAATTACAAAAAAATACTGGATGACCATATGACACAAAGGTAAGGGCTAACATGTAGACAAAAGATGGAGAAGTCATGGAGAAACTCAGTATCATGAAAAGCTGATAAGATATTGACAGAACTTTTCACTGACTGCTCTGACAAGGCAGTACTGAACTTAGCAGTGTGTCGAATTGCAGTGTTGCTCACAAATAGTTCTAGGGTTGCTTGGGTTTTTTTTAAATCACTAAAAGAGATACAAAATGAGGATACTTACAAATGAATTACATTAAAAATTAATCTGTCAGAGTACTAGAATCTGGAGAGGTTGGGGCTAGGGGAGAAATTGGGATCATATCAGTTGTTTCTAGCACCAGAATTAGAATTAGATGAAAGGATATATTCATAACAGCCACATTTTGATTTCATGCCAGTTTGCTTTAGGCTACGTCAGAGTTCCCAATGCCTCAAGGCCAAGCTAGAGGCATCTCAGCATTCTGGAAGTCTTTGAGGCATTCTTAGCTTCAAATTCACAAATGTGCTATTTTGCTAAGAGATTGTGCCAAGGATGCACTGAGATTCTGGATGTTGTGCAATACACTGAGGATAGCCTGGCGCGCATTTTTTCAGACTCTTTATACTGTGTAAGGTTAGTAGTAGCTGTAATTAATCAGCTAGCTTCACTGTATGAAACTCTATGAAACATTTCACAGGAATTCAAGATTCTACAGCTATCAGTTAATTTTTCTTCACAAAGATAACTGATGCAGTCCTTAAATCTAAGCCTTTCTGAGCATTGTGCTGTGATGGCAGAAGTGTTTGTGTGTATTTGAGACTTAAAATTACAACATGCAATGTACATACTTCCAAAGACTTAGTATCACAAAAGTAAGTCTATTCAGAATCTTTTGATAATACTAAATCAACATCCTACATTAAGTATTTCCAGAAACTTGCCCAGTTCTGCAAGTAACTGCCCTGGAGTATTTCTTGCCAGCCTTTCACACAGTACATCCTGTCATCTGCTTCATCACAGCCAGAAGTTCTGGACAATTCTTTTTCACTTGTTACCTTTAGGCTATCATACTGGCATAGTAGAGCAACTCAGTATTTCCAAGTACTTTTCAACTTTTTACATGTTAAAAAAAATCCCCTAGCAACTTCTACACAGAAGAAAAATTCTTGTTTTTCAGATGTCTGTGCTGAAACTATTTTGTCGATAGACTTGCCATCTCAATGCAGCTGTATTGGGTGAACAAAGCAATTGCCTGAGTGAACAAAGCAATACTATGCAATGCTTATAATGTATAAAATAAGAAACATGCAGTATCTAGTTGGTGTAATTAGAGGCATGGATAATTAACTAGACTAGCGTTTGACCAGATCACCAGAGTAAATAATGTATTAAAAAATTAAAAAAAACCAAAACAACATGCCCGCGATACAGTCTTGTCTTTCCACCTAAGATTCTACCTAAATAGTTCTGTTTCTTTATCATTTGTTATGTTTCCTAAAGCCTTTTATTGTTTCATTCCTTCTTCCTAATATTAACAGACCACAGTTCAGTAGAAATACTACTAATGTAAATTCTTCAAGCAATCTTTACTGATGGGAAAGGCTAGGATTTTTCCCATTCTTTTTCACATCTCCCATCTATAATTCTTGCTGTACTTCACACAGGGCATATGACTACATGGTTATTATAATTTAAATTGTATTTTGTCTATTTTCAAGTAAACTGACAGAAAGTAGAGAGACAGACTTACTCCAATATTTCTGAAGCAATAGCAAAAAGAATAGAAAATGCTATTTCTGTTGGGTTCTGCCTAAGAAACGTTTGATTTTTGTAGTGTTTCCTGGAAAGATAACAGATTGAAGAAGTGAAGTATATTCCTAGGATTCTTGTAAAGTCAAGTTAAATGCCCACTCATATGACAGTATTATTTATGCATCTCTCAATTTCCTCCTCTCACTTAATAGATTGGGTGGTGGAACTCTATATCCAATTTTTCCTATGAGTATGCAGGGGCAGAGGACTCTTCAAGCAGGTTTGGGGTTTTTTTTCCTTTTACTTTATTCTATGAAGTCTTGTGAATTTATCCTAGCTCTAGTCATATGCATATAGAGCTTTAACTGAAACCCATAATTACCAGTATGAATTGACTGAGATTAAACAAAAAGCATTTCTGTTTTTCTTGCATTATATAGATTAGTAACTATGTAGATTAGTTACTTAAAATTCTGATCATCATCTTCTTCTAACCCAGTAATCAAAAGATGACCCTGCCGTGAAAAAGAAAGCTTTTCAGCAAACTTCAGATTGAAACCCCATCACTTCCATGTTTCAGGAAAGAAACACTTATGTTTATGCATATATCACAAAACTAGTCCTATTAACTGTTGTGGCTAAATTCTTCAATCATAAAAGCATTTCTCCACTGACTTACAGAATTACTCAAGTAATTCTTAACTTTCTCCAATGTTAAAAAAATTACTTTCTCTGCTGTATCTGTCCTGCTTGAAAAACTTGCATATGCTGACCAAACTCACCCCTGCAGTTGCATCTCCTGGGATGTACAGCATTTGCCTCTACTGTTTGGGTTTTTTTTAAGACCTCATTTTTTCAAACACTGACAACCAAATCTGAATTTTTCTAGATATTTAGTCCTTTAGAGAAGATTCAGCTGATGTTGCTTTCATATATGATTGCTGGCTTCCTAGCCTCAGTGATACTACAGAATGTATGTCACCTTCTTCAGCTTAATTTGAAGAATATTTTTAAATTGATCTATTTGGGTTTTATTCTATTAATGGTTGACGGATCTACTAGTATTATGCACATCAGAGTTTAAACATGTACAGTTGTACCAACTGAGGCTTAGATTCTGTAACAGAGCTGATTATGAAGCAGCAAGTGTGAAGTACCCCATAAAATGAGATCCTCATCCTTCAACTATTTATTCGTAGACTTGTTGCTCCTTATGTGGGGCAGTGTTCATTGACTTACATGGCTAAGTAATCAAACGCAAGCCAAATCCAACTGAATTCAGTCATGTTCTCTACGAGGAGGTTGTGCAACTGTGTGTCGCAGTAAGAAGAACCTCGTCACTGGTCACTGCTTTACTGTCAGCCATTTCAGGTTGAGAAAAATTCCCAGGCATGGAGAGGATGCTGTCACCATAAGGAGTTTGGCATAGAGGGGCTGTGCATTAGCCCTCTGGGCCAAATGGAGAAAGGCCATAGTCTGGCAGTTCTTAAATCCCAGCAATTTCACGGTGGCGTTAGCGTCTTGGAAACTTTGCCAGCCAACAAGGCTTAGGTCATCCATAGTGCTGCTCTGCTCTGTGCTGGAGGTGGCTTTTGGGAATCAGATGGGCTCCGTAGTTCCTAGAAACTAATCTCACTTTGCTGCAGCTCTGGTTTCCTCCATTAAACTGCAATTATACAAAGGTGTTTTCATTCCCAGAATCCCACTGATCGATCACGGACAGCACTGAGTCTCTCGTTCACTCTTCTGCAGTCTATGGCTACCAAGTAAAATAGTGTGGTTTAGGTACAGTGAATTTAACCTGCCCTTTCTTACTATTAAGACAGTGAACAGTCCAGATAATTACAACGAACGGGAAATGATTTTGCATTTGACTTCCAAGTTGTACCTTAAAAAGACAAGCTCCTCCTTGCGCCTGAAGTACTGTTTGGAGTTTGCAGTGTAAGTTTATTCTAAGCCAAATAATGTCAGTTGTTAATATACCCGTCACCCGGATCAGAAGGCCTTGTCTTTATTTATAAAAGCAGTTCCGTTTTGTTGTGGTCTGTAAGGCTCTCACGTAGAGCCCCGGGCCCGCTCCCGCACCCCGGGCGGGCAGAGGCGACGCGATGCCGCCCTGACGGCCCGCCCGGCCCCAGCACGAAGCGGGACTGCCCGCCGCCGCGGGGCAGGAGCTCCAGGCCGGAGCGGGCGCCGACACCCGCGGCCG